ATTGGAAAAAATCGATACCCCTTCAGAAAAAAAAAAAAATCCTCTGAAGGGATATCAAAAAATTGATATCCTTTCAGAGGATTTATGCCCTTTTCCCCCCATAAATAGAGCTTTCTTTCGGTGGTATTTGATCGCCTCTGCATTTTTTTTTTTTTTGCTATAAACAAAAAAAAGAATAACCATTTTGAAAAAAAAAAAACAATATTTTTTTACTATAAAACATTGGTTTACATGAAAGGTATAGCGTCTACGAATGGTGGTATGTATATACTGGAATTTTTATATATTTTTTGTTATGCTAGTAATGGCAGCGATCAACGACTTATTGCGGGACTGCGGCAGGCATTCTGATACTGGGTGGGAACTGACTAACTGCCACTGACACTAATATAGTGATCAATCCTAATAAAAGCACTGACACTATACTAATGACATTGGGCAGGAAAGGGGTAACATCTGGGGCGATCAAAGGGTTAACTGTGTAGTGTTTTACTAGGAGAGTGCTGGTGTTTATCTCCCTGCTTTGCAGAGAGATAAAAACCAGCAAGTCCCAGCTGACAGGAGAGAAATCTGTGTTGTTTAGACTCACAGATATCTCTCCTGTCAGCTGTTCTGCTGATCAGAGTCCTGGCCATAAATCGCTGACTGGGAACTGATGATTGACAACTACAGGAGCCAGCGCGGGTAGGAGGGTGTGCATGCGCACCCCCTACATGGAAATGCAGAATCATGTATATATACGTGATTCTGCTCAGGGAGGCCTCCCTGTAGCCATAAAACTGTTACAGGGCAGTCGGCAAGTGGTTAATTTTTCTTCTTTGCATTCTACGTGGAAGCAGAGCCTCCCTGTAATCCAACAATCAGACTTCGATGGACACATTCCCTGCCCAGGTAATCACTGGGAAAGATCAGTGTACTGCTGTTTCTATGCCTCCTGCTGATACATACAGTTGATATAAAAAAAGTCTAAACACCCCTGTTAAAATGTCAGGTTTCTGTGATGTAAAAAAATTAGACAAAGATAAATCTTTTCAGAACGTTTTCCACTATTAATGTGACCTATAAACTGTACAACTCAATTGAAAAACAAACTGAAATCTTTTAGGGGGGGGGAAGTAAACATAAAAAACTAAAATAATGTAGTTGCATAAGTGTGCACACCCTCTTATAACTGGGGATGTAGCTGTGTTCAGAATTAAGCAATCACGTTCAAAATCATGTTAAATAGAAGTCAGTACATACCTGCCATCATCTAAAGTGCCTCTGATTAACCCCAAATAAAGTTCAGCTGTTCTAGTAGGTCTTTCCTGACATTTTTTTAGTCACATCCTACAGCAAAAGCTATGGTCCATAGAGAGCTTCCAAAGCATCAGAGGGATCTCATTGTTAAAGGTATCAGGAGAAGGGTGCAAAATTTCCAAGGCATTAGATATACCATGGAACACAGTGAAGACAGTCATCATCAAGTGGAGAAAATATGGCGCAACGTGACATTACCAAGAACTGGACGTCCCTCCAAAATGTATGAAAATATGAGAAAAAAAAAACTGGTCTGGGAGGCTGCCAAACGGCCTACAGCAACATTAAAGGAGCTGCAGGAATAGCTGGTAAGTACTGGCTGTGTGGTACCAGTAACAACAATCTCCCATATTCTTCATATGTCTGGGCTATGGGGTAGAGTGGCAAGACGGAAGCCTCTTCTTATGAATAAAAACATCCAAGCCCGGCTACATTTTGCAAAAACATATCTGAAGTCTCCCAAAAGCATGTGGGAAAATGTCTTATGGTCAGATGAAACCAAGGTTGAACTTTTTGCCCATAATTCCAAAAGATGTTTGGCACAAAAACAACACTGCACATCACCAAAAGAACACCATACCCACAGTGAAGCATGGTGGTGACAGCATCATGCTTTGAGGATGTTTTTCTTCAGCTGGAACTGGGGCCTTAGTCAAGGTAGATGGAATTATGAACAGTTCCAAATACCAGCCAATATTGGCACAAAACCTTCAGGCTTCTGCTAGAAAGCTGAACATGAAGAGGAACTTCATCTTTCAGCATGACAATGACTTAAAGCATACAGTCAGGTCCATAAATATTGGGACATGGACACAATTCTAACATTTTTGGCTTTATACACCACCACAATGGATTTGAAATGAAACGAATAAGATGTGCTTTAACTGCAGACTGTCAGCTGTAATTTGAGGGTATTTACATCCAAATCAGGTGAACGGTGTAGGAATTACAACAGTTTGCATATGTCCCTCCCACTTGTTAAGGGACCAAAAGTAAGGGGACAATTGGCTTCTCAGCTGTTCCATGGGCAGGTGTATGTTATTCCCTCATTATCCCAATTACAATGAGCAGATAAAAGGTCCAGAGTTCATTTCAAGTGTGTTATTTGCATTTGGAATCTGTTGCTGTCAACTCTCCAGATGCGATCCAAAGAGCTGTCACTATCAGTGAACTAAGCTATCATTAGGCTGAAAAAACAAAACAAACCCATCAGAGAGATAGCAAAAACATTAAGCGTGGCCAAAACAACTGTTTGGAACATTCTTAAAAAGAAGGAACGCACCGGTGAGCTCAGCAACACCAAAAGACCCGGAAGACCACGGAAAACAACTGTGGTGGATGACCGAAGAATTCTTTCCCTGGTGAAGAAAACACCCTTCACAACAGTTGACCAGATCAAGAACACTCTCCAGGAGGTAGGTGTATGTGTGTCAAAGTCAACAATCAAGAGAAGACTTCACCAGAGTGAATACAGAGGGTTCACCACAAGATGTAAACCATTGGTGAGCCTCAAAAACAGGAAGGCCAGATTAGAGTTTGCCAAACGACATGTAAAAAAGCCTTCACAGTTCTGGAACAACATCCTATGGACAGATGAGACCAAGATCAACTTGTACCAGAGTGATGGGAAGAGAAGAGTATGGAGAAGGAAAGGAACTGCTCATGATCCTAAGCATACCACCTCATCAGTGAAGCATGGTGGTGGTAGTGTCATGGCGTGGGCATGTATGGCTGCCAATGGAACTGGTTCTCTTGTATTTATTGATGATGTGACTGCTGACAAAAGCAGCAGGATGAATTGTGAAGTGTTTCGGGCAATATTATCTGCTCATATTCAGCCAAATGCTTCGCAACTCATTGGACGCCGCTTCACAGTGCAGATGGACAATGACCCAAAGCAGACTGCAAAAGCAACCAAAGAGTTTTTTAAAGGAAAGAAGTGGAATGTTATGTAATGGCCAAGTCAATCACCTGACCTGAATCCGATTGAGCATGCATTTCACTTGCTGAAGACAAAACTGAAGGAAAAATGCCCCAAGAACAAGCAGGAACTGAAGACAGTTGCAGTAGAGGCCTGGCAGAGCATCACCAGGGATGAAACCCAGCGTCTAGTGATGTCTATGCGTTCCACACTTCAGGCTGTAATTGACTGCAAAGGATTTGCAACCAAGTATTAAAAAGTGAAAATTTGATTTATGATTATTATTCTGTCCCATTACTTTTGGTCCCTTAACAAGTGGGAGGCACATATGTAAACTGTTGTAATTCCTACAACCGTTCACCTGATTTGGATGTAAATAACCTCAAATTAAAGCTGACAGTCTGCAGTTAAAGCACATCTTGTTTGTTTCATTTCAAATCCATTGTGGTGGTGTATAGAGCCAAAAATGTTTAGAATTGTGTCCATGTCCCAATATTTATGGACCTGACTGTACATCCAAATCAACAAAGGAATGGCTTCACCAGAAGAAGATTAAAGTTTTGGAATGGCCCAGCCAGAGCCCAGACCTCAATCTGATTGAAAATCTGTGGGGTGATCTGAAGAGGGCTGTGCACAGGAGATGCCCTCGCAATCTGACATGCTGATAGACTCACAACCAAAAAGACTGAGTGCTGTAATAAAATCAAAAGGTGCTGCAACAAAGTATTAGTTTAAGGGTGTGCACACTCATGCAACCATATTATTTTAGTTTTTTTATTTTTTTACTTCCCTCCACCTAAAAGATTTCAGTTTGTTTTTCAATTGAATTGTACAGTTTATAGGTTACATTAAAGGTGGAAAAAGTTCTGAAATTATTTATCTTTGTCTCTTTTTTTACATCACAGAAACTTGACATTTTAACAGGGTGTGTAGACTTTTTATATCCACTGTACCCCTATAGACCCCCACCTCTCTAAGCCTCATATGAAGTTGCGAACAGAGGTCATGTGATCACTTATGAAAAAGGAAATGCTTTACCTTGCATTTCTTTTTTAAACTGAATGTGTTGTATTACAAGGTAATGGTTCACATACACTCACCGGCCACTTTATTAAGTACACCCATTCAATTGCATGGTAACACATATTGCTAATCAGCCAATCACATGGCAGAAACTCAATGCATTTAGGCATCTAGATGTGGTGAAGACAACATGCTGAAGTTCAAACCGAGCTTTGGAATGGGTAAGAAGGGGGATTTAAGTGACATTGCACGTGGCATGGTTGTTTGTGCCAGATGGGCTGGTCTGAATAAAACTGTTGATCTACTGGGATTTTCACACACAACCATCTCTAGGGTTTACAGAGAATGGTCCGAAAAAGAGAAAATATCTAGTGAGTGGCAGTTGTATGGAAGAAGATGTCAGAGGTCAGAAGAGAAGGGCAGACTGGATACTGCGACGTTTAGATGGTAGGGTCAAAATTTGGCGTAAACAACATGAAAGCATGGATCCATCCTGCCTTGTATCAATGGTGCAGGCTGGTGGTGGTGGTGTAATGGTGTGGGGGATATTTTCTTGGCACTAACAAGGTGTACCTAATAAAGTGGTCAGTGAGTGTATACTTTAACTAGTAGCCGACCGCAGATAGCCGAATGACGGCTGCACTGCGGCCGGCCAGTTCTGGGTGGACGTCATATGACGTCCTCCCAGAACGCGCTCTCCTGCGCGCCCCCAGGGGGCGCGCACCTGGCGATCTCCGTGATCGCTGTGTCCTACGGACACAGCTGATCACGTGATGTGGTAAAAGGCCAATCACAGCGGCCTTTTACCACGTGATCAGCGGTGTCCAATGACACGCTGATCAGAGGGAAATGCAAGTGCCGGTTCTCGGCTGCACTTTCCTCACGCTGTCAGATCGTGAGGAAAGTACTGCCGAGAACCGGCAGTTGTCAGAGCGGGGATCGGCACCGATTATCAGGGCACTGATGATCAGTGCCCTGATGATCGGTGCCCAGCAGTGCCGCCCGCAAGTTCTGCCCACCTGTGCCCAGCAGTGCGCCCACTAGCTCCGCCCACCTGTGCCCAGCAGTGCACCCACCTGTGCCCAGCAGTGCACCCACCTGTGCCACTCTGCAGTGCCACCTACCTGTGCCCAGAAGTGCCACCTACCTGTGCCCACCCACCTGTGCCCACCAGTGCCACCCACCTGTGCCCACCCACCAGTGCCGCCCACCAGTGCCGCCCACCAGTGCTACCAGTCAGTGCCACCAGTCAGTGCCCAGGGGTTGTGCCAGTCAGTGCCGTCAGTCAGTGCCCAGCAGTGATGCCAGTTAGTGCCGTCTATCAGTACCCATCATCAGTGTCACCTATCAGTGCCGCCTATCAGTGCTGCATATTAGTGCCGCCTATCCGTGACACCTCATTAGTGCTGTCTATCAGTGCCACCTATTCGTGCCACCTCATTAGTACTGCCTATCAGTGCCCTTTAGTGCTGCCTATCAGTGCCCATCAGTGCTGCCTCATCAACGCACATCAGTGAAGGAGAAAAAATACCTGTTTGAAAAATTTTATAATAGAAACAAAGAAACTTTTTTTTTTTTTTTCAAATTTTTTACACTTTTTTTATTTTTAGCGCAAAAAGTAAAGCGCCCAGTGGCGATTAAATACCACCAAAAGAAAGCTCTATTTGTGAGAAAAAAATGATCAAAATTTCATATGGGTACAATGTTGCATGACCGCGCAATTGTCAATCAAAGTGCGGCAGCGCTGAAAGCTGAAAATTGGCCTGGTAAATAAGGGGGTATAAGTGCCTGGTAGGCAAGTGGTTAAACAGGAGGGGAGGATAGAAGAAGAAACCAAATAACAAACAGGTTGCAGTGACCCAAAAAATGCTACTATATGTGAGCATGCATCAAACAATAGTAGCCTGATACAGATCAATACAACAAAAAAATACATTTAGGTGGGACAGACCATATAATATACAAAAAGGAAGAACTGCAGATTAATGATAGTAGCAACTAATAAGCTGTGTTTGAATATGTAGTAAAAAAATGCCTCAGTATGTATTGAATTAATCAGTATGAAAGCCAGGCAACTAGCATTTTTAGAAGGAGAGGTCAGCGGGCAGGATGGAGAGATGTCACGTACAAAATATTTGTTCTGAACAAAAACAAAACTGCTGTTTTTCTAAATGAAAACTGTTGCACAATTTCATCTTCCAAATTCACCAAAGTCTTCCCAAGCAAGTGTTTCATAATAATACATATTGGCTTTGCATCCCCTGGCATTTTCACTTTCCTCATTTTGTTACATTACCGCTACAAAATGCAGTATATTACTTTAGGCTCCAGTTACATTTGTGTAACTCCAAAGTTGCGTGAATTTGGATTACAACTTTGGATGGGTGTGACTTTGATGCTACTTTGGTTTTGACCAAAGATCATAGACAACTGTTGTACAACTGTCACATGTATAGGATTCAGGTACGACTTTTAATACGACTTTTGAGGGTTAACATTGAAGTCTATGGACCTCACGTCGCATGAAAGTCGGACCGAAGTAGTGCATGAACTACTCTGAAGTTACTGCAACTTTAAGTGACATAGTTATGAATGGTACTCATTGGAAAAGACGGGGTGTGTGACTTGTCATGGGACTTTAGTGTCACACACAAGCAGGGGCGGACTGACAACTCATGGGGCCCCCGGGCAATAGGGGATCATGGGGCCCCTGTGTTCTTGCCCAAACTCAAAAAAGCCTATGAAAAAGGTACCAGGGGCATCTCATGGGGCCCCCTACTGACCCTGGGCCCTCGGACAGTGCCCGAGTTTCCAAATGGTCAGTCCGCCCCTACATTTACCTTTTGGCCTACACTGTCATTGTGGGGTATGACATGGCTGGGTACACATTACTTTAATAACAGCAACACATTTTATTGTAACAAAAAGTTACTTTTAATAGTTAATAAAGTGGACCTTAAAGTGTTACTAAACCCACAACTGCATTGTGTAAAAAGACTGTTTGATCCAGTCTTCCCTGCCCCTCCTTTTGTTGAAATGACCACCTGATCCAGATTGAATCCATAGTCACATGCACATGCTCAGTTTAGTGTGTATTGATAGAGAAGTTTTTTTTTTTTTTCCTTGGGAGAGTGCATGTGATCAGCACAGGGCCAATCAGAACTGTCCAGACAGAGGGCTAGCACTTTCACATCCTCCTAGAGAAGAAAGAAAACTCCTCCTACAAGCTTTAACCAATGCTCTACTGAAGTCACAAGACTGCTCTAACTGCTGATGAGAAGTTATTTAGCAGTTAATATTTACTAAAATAAATGCATTTCCATGTTGTGTGTACTGTGGGAGACAAGATAGAGTGAATGCAGGGTCCTGGGTTTAGTAACACTTTAATAAAGTGGAACCGTATCTTTAAAGCCTAAGTTTATTCAAAAAATGTTATTAAAAAAAAAAAAAAAAAGCACAAGTGACATTATTTAGTCCTTCATGCTGCTGGCTGCTGCTTTAGCTGAAATATGCCAGTGCTGGGGGGGGGGGGGATACACACACACACCTGTGACATACATGCATCAAGCGTGCAGACTATGCTTGCCCTCTCCATCTCCCTCCTCCATTCACAGCAGCTGTAATAGAGAGTTTACGAATGGAGGATTGCAGATGAATGAAAAATCCACCTCCTCCATTCATAGATTATTTTTCATTCATGAAAGCTTCTATGAAGGGAGGAGGTTGGTGAAAAGGGTGGGCACAGTTGGTTTAATAAGTGCCTGTCACAGGTCCATTGGCTCTATTAACCCCTGTGGTACCGGAAGATTACTGCTTCAATTGAGGGGGGGGGAATAGGACAGAAGATTTCAACTAAAGCAGCAGCCATCAGCACAAGGGACACAATGTAATGACTATAAATAATGGCCCTTGTGGTGATTTTTTAAAATGTCTTTTTTTTTTTTTTTACTACACTTTAATAGATAAAAGTCTTTAATAAGGTTCACTTCACACTATGAATCACACAGGAATATGTTGTGCTTTCCTGTTCGATTCACATGCAATTCAGTGCAGTGTGATTTGTGCCCATTCATTTTGAATGGGCTCATATGGCACTGCATTACACCAAAAGTAGCGCATGAACTGCTTTTGGAAATGCATTGCAACCAGATCGCATGGTACATTTATACCATGCAATCCGCTGCAGGAAAACACACTGAATTTGCAACCTGTGTTTGGGGTGTCTAGCTTAAAATCAACAACCCTGTAGATCATAACTGCAGTGCGTTTTGAACACGGCGCAGGACACAGGTCATGAATTTCCTGCACCATGTTCTAATGTGAGCCTAGCCTAAATGAGTATAATAAAGGGGCACTGCTACTACAAAAAACAGTAAAGGCAGATTAAAGGCAGTGTCAGCTGGATTTTCACTTTAGACCAGTTTTTCATTTACGTAGTGCCCTGTAGGTAGATGAGATTTTTTTTTGTAGTTAGTCAGAGGCAGGGGCGGACTGCCAACTCATGGGGCCCCCGGAAAATAGGGGATCATGGGGCCCCTGTGTCCTCACCCACACCCAAAAAAGCCTATGAAAAGGTACCAGGGGCATCTTATGGTGCCCCCCACTGACCCCGGGCCCTCGGGCAGTGCCCGAGTTCCCAAATGGTCAGTCTGCCCCTGGTCAGAGGCTTGTTAGAAGCCTGGGATGAGTCAGCCTGGGACTGAGACAGTGAGATTACCTCAGGGCAGACTGGAAGGCTCTACAGGCCAGGGCTTCTGGAGCCCTCCCACCCTTCTAGAAACTGCTGGAATTTTTTAGAAGAGGGGCAGAGGAGGGGAGGTGGCCTAGGTAGCTAGGGGAAGCTAGAGTCCAATTGTTAGAGTAGCAGCCTGTGGTAATAGCCAGAGGGAGGTCATATTCAGGTCAGGGCTGAGTGGCTCTGCAGACTAGCTCTCTTGAACTTCCCCCTGCACTAGAACTTTGGAGAAAGTTCTAAAAGCAGTGGGCGGAGGTGGAGAAGTGAGAGGCTGGAGAGCAGGAGCCTGGGAGGGAGCCTAGATGAGAAGGGGCTCACCTACAGGCAGGGAAGCTTGAAAGGAGTAAAGCTCAGGATTTCATTGACCCCCCGAGCGGGGACCACCTATGCAGCAGGGAAGAAGTGGCGCAGCAAAAGGCCTGAGAGCATCAACTCATAGAAGAAAGACTGAGTGAGTAGACCTACACCCCCTGGAAACTGGATTAGCTACTACCCGGGACTGTCTTCTCTTAAAGTGACAGACGCTGGATCCCCCTGCCTAGGGATTCACCCAGAACAGCTGGATAGAGGAGTATCTAGGGTTTGGGATGGTACTACAGGAGATGTTGGCTAGCTCTCCAGAAGAGAATTTTTGCTGTAAAGACTTGTATATAGTTCCAGGAAGTTTGTCCTCTGTTGACATTCCCTTGAAAACCCCCTTGAAGTCAAATGCAGTTCAGAAGGACGTCAGCTGATGGTCGGATGCATCGGTCAATTCATATGGAATGATTTTAGAAGTGTCTTAAACTGGTGCCATCAACACAAGCCCAAAGCCCATAGACACAAGCTCTGAAGCCTCATGCACATGGACGGCGAGAGCCTAAAAATATGCTGGGCATAAAGTTGGGAGTGGGTCATTCGGGAGATATGTCGTATGTGCATGCAAGTGTAAACTCCAATGCATAGAGGAAGAGTACAGGCACTTATAAGGCAGAATGTACATGGGATGTACATGGCTCTCCAGGTGCAGGAAAACCTGGAATTTTAGCCCCAACATATTTTCAGCCTCTCACCCTCCATGGGCGCGAGACCTGAATATAAGAGACCTGACCAGACCACTCAGCTGAAGGACACAACACATTTCTAAATCTACTTGTCCCTGCATACCCTACCAACACCTAAGCTGTGATTCAAGAAGAGACGAGAAGCTACATAAAGCCTATTTTGCTATCCAACGTTTTGACACCGTCAAGTAAAAAAAAAAAAAATCTCCTGTACTCAAGAGAAGTGAACTGCTATTTAACACCGGGCGTGGAACAGACGTTCCGTGCACTGTTTTATTTCATGGCATTACAAACCACTAAATGGTTACTGCACCCTGTCACATACAATCAGGGCAGTGCGTAAACTAGATGGGAAGGCAGCTCTCTGAGGCTTTTAAAGTTAAAAGCTCGGATAAGATTGAATTTGTGAACCGATAATGCGTGCTCCCCTCCTTCCTCTCTCTGTACAGAAATCTTCCACTACACTGGACTTTTTTCTTTTTAGTGTTGAAAGGCGCCAACAACATATGTATGTATGAAACACATCGCTTATATCCCAGTCTTTACCCTGCAGAGATGTAATTGGAGTCTATCGGCTTAACTCTGCTGATGCCGGATTAGTCACCAAGCACTGCGACCCACTGTCAGTTACTACACAATACCCACATATGAAGTGTAAGCGTTCTAGCTTAGAGCATTTGCAAGCATGT